CTGCATATGCAGCTTTATTAAACTTGGTAATTGTAAAGAATGGGATAGGTGTAGCTCGCTTATAAAAAAATGGGATTTGCAAAACTGCGCAGAGCAGCGATTAAACTGCCCAAACCTGCATATAGGTAGTAGGGCTGCCACATGTAAATTGCATTATGCAGTATAAAATCAAAACAGTCAGGACGACTTCCGAAAACATAGGGACAGAACCAGAGCTCTCATTTTTAAATTTTTGAAAACTGAATTTTCCTATACAAATTCCTATAAACAAAGTTGGGGTGTCACCCCTATCAAGTAACGCAAGCAAATGACACGAGACTGTTTGTTTTCTGGTCTATACAAATTCGAAGAGTGCTATATATGTGGACACCACAGCTGTTTGAACACGACTCGACTGGAGCAGAGACATGAGCCTTGTGATGCGCTTTGAGATGAGCTTACACGAGAACAAACATTAGATGCTACACAGCTGTGGATCAAAACTTACGCAGTTTGACTTATTTTGAATATAATGCACCTTAAAGACAAAAATATATGTAGGGCAGAAGTTACGTTGTCGTTCGTCGCCTCTCGGAAGATGTTGGCGTTGCAGGAGTACTCGGAGTCGATGGAGAACTAGGTGCTTCAGCCGGTTTCTGACGTATACGAATTCCTTTGCCTTTTTCGAAAGGGATCAGTTTCGAAAGGGATCAGCTTTCCGTTCATTCGCTCCTTGTGCCACACATCCCAACATGTCATGGCGACCTAACGCACTTGTCGACGCGCCCGCATGTAGAGGTAAACTGGCCCTTTGTCGCTACAGTCGCCACAATAGTATGTAGTTGTTGATGCTCGCTGGGTGTCTGCTCGAAGCAGCGAGCACGCCTTGCATATCCTTTGCCGTCTTTTCCCTTGTGTTCCTTCGTTTCTCCATTCATCTACTGGACGGGCAGCGTGTCCAATTGACTGATTTGCACCGATAGGAACCGGTACATATGCAGGTCTGGCTTGGGGTGGCTGGGTGCCGAATGTGTTGGACACATACATGTCTGTAGCTTGTAGGCGACACAGCTGAAGGTGGCGTTTCTTCATGTACTTCACGTGGGTAAGTGATCGTGACTGCTTGTTCTTGTGAAAGTCCTTATGGACTATGTATCCATTTACAATAGCCAAGTCAATGAGCCCCAGTGCCAACGACTTATAGTATTTTCTAAAACGGAGTGCACGCTGGAGAGAATAACGCTGCAATCTCAGCTGGTCATGGACATTCACGCCACCCATGTACGCTTGATAATCTTTTACGACTCTGGGGCAAGGCACTTCCTCTTGCGTGGGATCATTCTGTCGCACCACCCGATCTAGTTCAAGGCTTCCTCCTGTGCTGAGAAAGTGTACAGGGCGAGAATCCCACCAACATATTGCTGACATATTTGGCACGAGCTTAGAAGTAGCCACCTTGAACGACCCACGCGTACTCCCGGGTGGACGAGTCTTCTTCTTCTCGACGACACCTTTGCAGTATTTCAAGCGGGAGGTCATGATAGTTCCCGCGCAGTCAAACCCCATCTGCAGCAGCTTAAAAGCTAAAGCCACAGAAGTATAGAACCGGTCGATGACGACTAGGCGCATTCCCTGCTTTCTAGCATCCGGGCCAAATCCAGCAAGCAGGTTTCAAACAATAGCAGCAGGGCCTGATTTCATGTCGGGTTTGTGGGCGTCGCTAGTGTGCTGTTTCTTACCGCAATATACTTCAAACCTGCATATATTCAGCAAACAAGACACAAAAAATGTCAGACAAAACTGCATAATGCATGATAGTAAAAAGCTGCTTAAAAAAAATCGGACCTGATGCGGTACGCTGTGACTGCGCTGCATAGCATGAAGAGCTTGGTGCCCCACTTGTGGGGCTTGTCCTTCATGTAAACGCGCATCTTGTTGAAGGATGACCGACTGGGTAAGACTGCTTGGTTGAACGCCAAGTGTGATGGCGCAACGTATCCACGAAGAAAAGTGCGCTGCAAGACTTCTACCAGCTTGCGGATCTTCCAGGCGCGATCGGTTTGAGCCCTGGGGTCGTTGTTTGAGTTGAAATGAAGATTGCGTGAAATTTCCATGAATCGGTCTCTAGACAGCACTGAGTCGATACACCCTCGTGATATAGCGCCCTCATCCGTTGTCTTCCAGTGATTAGCAAGTTTTTCTCTGTTCGGAGCAATTGTCCTTGCCACCAATAGTCCAACAAACTGGCACAGTTTGTGTGGTAAGATAGGCTTCATGCCTTCCAAGTCGTGCTGAATATCTCGCCTTGTCTTTGTTGGTAACTGCGGGCTCAACCTCCGCTTCCAGCGATAACGCAGAAATGTTTCGTCAATACGACGTGGTAGCATCTCCCGGTGATACTCCGTCGAGCAAGCAGCAATGCGCTGCCACAATACATCAGGAAGAAAGTAAAAGAAGAGTCCAATTGGAGAGTCTCCTCTGCGCAAAACGTCTGCAGTTGGACCCGAGTACCCTTGGCGAAGGCCAGGATAGCTTGAAGTATTGTCGACGGGGTCGTTCGAGCCCTGCATGTACTCAGCAGTATCAGGTTCAATGACATCCTCCCAGCCAATAGCGGACATCTCACGCAGGACAGCGTTCTTTAGGTTTCCAGCGAGAACTTCATCCTCTCCACCAAAACTATCAAGAAATTTCTCCGCGAAATGAGCCTCTGCAGTGATTTCGTCTTCTGTCGCGACCAGATAATTACCAATGTCGTCAGATGCACAATAAATTCCCTCCTCTTCATCCGATACACACTCTCCAGTCTCCATGTCATTGGCTTCCGCCTCATCACCCGAATCCAACTTTCCAAAGTGATGTTCAATGGCGTGATCAACAACCACGCTCAAATCATCGGTGCTATCGGCAAGCAGCTCGCTACCAAGAGCTGAATCTTCTCCGTCTTCATTAACGTCATCTAAAGAACAGCCCATAATTATGTAAGTATTCGGATTAATATACATCATACTATGCAGTATATAATGCAGCGTAATATGCAGAGCACTATGCACCACATTATGCTGCAATGTATTCAACATAGCATACAGTATACAATGCAGCATACCGTTTCTGGTTGGAGTTTGTGCTGGATGTGTGGAGTTGCTGCCGCTGATATTATCAGATTCTTCTGCTTCTTCAGATGAACAGTCGGCGTCATGAACGCGTGGTGACGTCGGGATGAGCTGAGAGCTTCGCTGGGTACTTCTAACTGGCGAGTTTGCCATAGGACTTGAAGTATTCATCAAAGAGCGACGCGCCGGCGCTCGCTGTGATGGTGACTGTGGCCTGGTAGAAGATTCACGTACGGGGACGGGAGGCACACCGTTAGCTGGCTGGTTGGTGGGGACTCGTTGAGAAGTAGCCTGAGCTCGAGCTCTTGCTTCTGCTGCTTCGATATCAGCAGCGTAGTTTTCACGTACGATAGCTGCGGTAGCAGCTAGCTGATCATCTCCAGGAGCACTGGGTTGGACGCCTACCGCATTGCGTCGCAGCTCTACAAGTAACATACTTGGTATTAGACATAGCAACGAGCTATTCAGCTGCAAGTAATACACACACCTTTTGCGTAATGCTCCAATACTGCTTGTTCGCCACGGAAGTAATCGACGCCTTCGCTCCCCTTCACGTTCTCTCCGGGAGGCATATAAAAGTAGCGGTCATTGAGACTGCGGCCCGAAGGTGGCTTTCGTGTCCACCCGTCCTTCTTTAGCTCTCTCCACACCGACTTGAAAGATAAGTCGCGTGCGGTAGCTTCGCAGTCTCGCGGCACTTTGCCTCGGACTCTCACCATCCTCCTGCGTCTTGGGTCCTCGGGGCGAAAAATCTCGAATGAGAGACATTTGGAAAAGGCGGCGATCGTCGTCGGCTGTGCACCACTCACTGAGTGGGATCAGCCCGTTACCTCCGGTAGGTAATACAAATCATCTAGATTCTCACAAACCTCGCAAAGCTGATCTTTAGATTATGACAAATGTTGCCCCTTTTAACCTCTTGAGAAAAAAAGACCCACACAGAAACAGGCATTCTGGTTGTCTTAAAATGTGTATGCCTTGTGGCGAGCGAAAAGACACGTCTCACAAACTTTAAGTCTAAAGTCGTTAAACTGAATATATTCAGTTTAGCGAAAATGGTAATCCTGCATTATGCAGCACCCGGTTTCGAGGGGTTAACTCTGGATAACAACTATATTCTCGGTCAGCCAAACGGTCCGTACATCCGAAACTTGATAACCCCGGCTTTTGGACGGGTAAGCCGGAAATGTCGTCTGCGAGCTCCGTATAAAAAACTGTTGTTGCTCTCAGCACGTCTGAATCACACCTTGATGGGCAGAATGCTTACGTACGTGGACAAGACTGATCACCAACGCGGAGCCACCAGTACGAGTAATACTATCATAGCACTCCATCTTTGCATTGACCATGAAGCAGAACCCAGAGTTACCACGACGACCAAGGCAGATTTTGCTCACTCTTGTGGGGCTTTGCTTATTGATACTCCTGCTGGATAGCTCCCTGCTCGGCGGCGACGCCGAATATTCGTTTGGAGCTAACCTGGACGATAAAACTGCCAATAACTCACTCAATAACGTACCGGTACCTGCGTGGGTACAATCAAACAGCGACACTGAAGTCTCTGTAGCTAACCGACTGCATCTGAGTCTGCTGCACGAAGCCTGTATCGCCAACAAAGACGCAGTGATACCGTGGCAGTTCAGGTCACCTCGAGACGGTCACCAACGGCAAAATGCAACGGCAGACAATGACTACGAGCTCATCAACCGCAACGACTCGAACCTACTCGAAAAGCTAAAACAATGTCCTGACGTGGACATTTTCTTACCACTTAGATTGCGTGGAAACGGATACTGCGAGGATGCAGTAGCATACGCCAAGTGTACGTACCTTTACTGCGGGTTGTATGCCCTTGACATCATCCTAACAATGTTAACCTGCATAGACCTCGACTCACGATTGCTCCCGATGTGGGCTCTGGAAATTAAGCTTTATGACGATGCACTTGGACGAGAAGTGGACTACTTCGATTTGTGTCCCAAGACGCCGATGATTTTCTTCAATCATTACTGGAACGGCGTTCCGGAATCTCCACGCTGGCCAAAGAATAAACCACTCTACTTAATGCCGAACATTGAGATGTTTGAGCTCACATCTACGCACTGTTGGAAAGTCGACGTCGTACTGTGCAAGACCCACGTATGTTACGACAGAGTGACGCGCTGGTACAGCGAAAACGGCAGTCCACGCAACGTCAAAGTATTTTACACGAAGCACACGTCATCCGACCAGGCAGAATTTGCACGACAGCGTCTAGGCAACACTTCTATTGCTCCGAAAGACTTCTCCGGTGTGAAATTTATCCACACGGCTGGTTCCAGTGGCTGGAAAGGTACGCGACAGCTTGTCGACTGCTGGGTTCTGTCACCGGGGATGCCTCCATTGGACGTCTTTATCGATGACAGCTCATACAACCGTCTATTTCCACGGACATACCAACTATCGTTAAACCGTGCTCGCAGTCCTGTCCACATCAAGCACGGTATGTTGGAGCCTCAAGACTTTAACAAGTTGATAGCCGAATCGGCCTTCTTTATGTGTCCAAGTCGAATTGAGGGCTACGGTCACTACCTTAACCAAGCGCGGGCATCGGGGGGAGTGGTGGTAACCACGGACACTCCCCCAATGAACGAACTGATCCTATCGAGTGAAATGGGAGTTTTGATTTCAACAGAATCTGAGCGTCACCCGAAGATGCTTCTTGGAGGTAAATACGAAGGTGAACGAGGACTGAACGACACTGAGGGGTTGTTGGCTACATTTAACTCTAGCGGGTTATGTAATGCTATCCAGCACTTCGTATCATCGACAACCACCAAGCAACGCGCAGCCATGGGCGCTCGAGCGAGACAACAGTATCACGAAGACACGAAATTCTTTGCACAATCGATGCATAAATTACGCCTGTTCACCCGAAACTAATCGTAAATACGAAAATTTCCCTACTGCTATGCAGTGGATTCGTCGCGGAAATACTTGCGAGGCAACTGGAAATCTCCTCGCTGTCTTCCGCGAGATTCTCACTGGCCTGTTGTCTCGTAAATCAAGCATCGCGCAGACGAAGCCTGATCATGACCAGCCGATTTTGGGATCGGTCACCCGTGTGTTATTGATACAGTAGAGGCAAACTTTGGGTTCTCCGTCCGTGGTTACGGTTTGAATTTTACACAGACGTATATACTGGAGCGTGGGAGCGACATGGAGCCCTTGTCGCGGGCTTCCTCTAATCGGGGTCGTGAGTATCTTGGGCCGACGTAGGAGGTAGTAGTATTAGCGACACTACTGTGATAGTAATGTAAAAATTGATGTATTCTTATGTTGCTTGTTAGAAGGAAATCCACGACTGACTTTCTCATTTCACCTCGCTAAGAGTTTTTAGAGCTTCTTACCTTTTAGCAGATCTCTCGTGCGTGGCGGTCCAGCTCCAATTCCCGCCACGACCAGCTGCTCCACGACTTCACACTTGGAACGTCACTGTCTTGGCTCCAGGTCCCGCTTGCTTGGACGTGGTCCGGAGAGTCTGGAGTGTGTAGACCTTCTGCAGGCAGTCAGCCACCATCGTCAATCCTCTATCTAACTGTACACCGTGACAATTCTCCCCGACTGACGCTCGGTGACCTCGCCGAGCCACATCGCCTGGAGCCTGTCGCACGGTGTCTTCCACAGTCAGATCTGGAACGTTCCCACGTGACGTTCCCCTTGCATTCGGACTCTCGTTCCTTACTCCAGACGACGTTCCTTCGGCCTGCATGCCTCGCAGTTGCTCCACGCTAACTCGCTCTCCTTCCTCACGACGCTCTATACGACCAGCCAGTCCTTCCCACTTGCGTCTCGCCGCCTTATCATTCTGGTCCATAGCGCTCGGCCGGAGCCCTTCATAATATCGCATCACATAACTGTAGCAACCGACAACTAACACAGCCAAATTCCAGTAGCAACAGCCAATTTCAAATTCCAGGTAGACGTCCACGATCAACACAACCAGCGTCACTCCCATCCAGCCACACAGTATTCCCTCGACGCTCTCGTACACCAGGCGGGGCAGGTAGATTCGGATTGACAGTAGTAGAGACGTCAGCAAGTAGCTCCCAACGATGAAGTCTTTAACTCTATCCACAACAGCTACCACAGCTTCGCTAGTGGCACGAGCGTACCGGCAGGACGTTCCCCATAGCAAAAGACTCGCATCTGGAACGTACAGGCAGCACGAATGGTGGAACGCCTCACACCACTTAAGGCACACACGACCCGTAATCCCGAATCGGGACTCGTAGTCCTGGAACACCGCGATAGGAACCAGGAACAGTAGCTTCACTAGCGCGCACGCGTACTCCGGAGGTGGCACTGCAGCGGCATGGGCGTTTCGAGCCGCCACCAAGTAGCGATCGCAGCAAGTGTACCAGAAAAAGTAGATGGCACGCACGCTCTCGATCGTTCCGTCGAGGAACGCCCACGACACGTTCCGCAGAGGCGTCGTTGCAATCCAGATAACTATCCCCATCACAGCGCTGCCGACGACTCTCATCTCGTCCGCCACTTCGATGTCCATCGTCCAGTTTGTCTGTTCCGCCCATTTCGGCTAATCCTCCCCACATCGCCATCAATTTCCAAGTGACATCGTCACAACAGCAGTTCCTCCAGACCGTTAGCCGTTAGGAAGGTTCTTCACCCGAAACCTTGTCCGCCCAAGTCACCAAGCATCATTGCGTCCCTCAGTCGACGCCACGTCCCAACTGTCGAACCTTCTCGCGTGCCCCTTGGCAGCCATCAAGTAAAAACTTCCTGTTTTCGGATTTCTCTCATTTCACAATCCGCTCCTCGCCATGTCCACGCGACATACCGCCGCCGAGCTGAGGCGCTTCCGGGCGTTCTTCAACGCCGCCCTCGACCATGAGGAGCAGGGCACCCCTGGGGACACTGCGCGGGCCTTCCAGCAGCAGTTCTGGACCGAGCTGCGCGCGCGCCTGGGCGCCAACAGCATGTCGTCGGGTCTCCAGTTCTTGAACCAGCTCGCCGAGGACATCCTGAATGGTCAGACCGACGCTTCGCTCCAAGGAGCCGTCGTGGCCCTCCCCGCGCTGTCAGACTCCACTCCCTCTTCAGGCTCCGCTACGGCGTCGACAACGTCGTCGAGCAAGCAGTCGAAGTCGCCCTCCAAGAAGACACAAAAGTCGCCTAAGTCGCCCGTGCGAGGCAAGCGTAAGTCCAGCGGTGACGACTCTACTTCCAAGTCGTCCGCTAAGAAGGCTCGCGTCGCCAGCAAAACCAAGAAGGCGCACGTTCCATCCAACGAGTTCGGCCATCTTCTCGACGTGAGTCGCGCTGCTTCTGCTCCCGTTCGTCGGGCTATTGCTGCCATCTTGGCGAAGGCAGAGGCTCTTGGTAAGAAGCCCTGGCGCCTTGCGTACCCTTGAACCGGACGTCCCATGTGGTACGATCCAATCAAGTTCAGTCACGCGCACACTGGCGTTTCTGGATGACACATCGCCGTGCTTTCTGGGAGTGGGCCTTACACGCTCCTCTTGCCACTGCAGCGGCCATGACTCAGCGTCGCAAGCTGAAGATGCGCGCCGTCCAAGCCCGCTGGGCCTTCACCAGTATTTGCATAGAGACATGGGGCTTTTATGCCTTCCTCGAGATGTCGGAGAAGCGCCCTGAGATGTATTGGCTCGGGGGCCAGCTTGGCAGAGCCACACGCGATGGCCGCCCCTACAACGGACTCATTGCCGAGGACCTAGCGACCCTGAAGCAGAAGGACAAGGAACGCTATGACGCTACGCTCGAGAACGCGCTGGACCCGTCGAATATCGACACTTACGGGTACCCCAGCATGCGCTCCTTGTTCGAGTCTACGGACGCGCTGAATCCGGATGCAGACGAGAAGAGCCGGCTCTCCCTAGCTGCCTTAGCGCGAATTCGCCGCGACACCATGTCATGCACGAAGCCAAACGTAACTTGGGCTGGTGAGAAGAACGAGGAACCGTGGCAGACGCTCGTAAACAACCACGCCGTCAAGCTGGCTCAAGACGACATCATGGCCCAGATCACCGCGGGAACGTACGAAGTTCCAACCGTCCGTCCACCGTCCGGTACGGAACGTCGCCGCGACGAGTGGTCCGAGTTCGAAGATAAAGGCGAGGACGAAGAGAAGGAAGCTGCGGCCGACGGCGAAGACGCTTCAGGTAACGACGACGAGGAGTCCGAAGCCGACGACGACGAAGACGAGCAGGAAGAGGAGGAATTCGTCGAGCACGAGGACGGCGACGAGGAAAGCGACAAGGACGAAGATGAGGACGACCAGAAGAAGGCCGCCAAGTAGCACGTCTTTGCGATGTAGCCGCTCGTAGCTCTCGTTCCCTTTTAACCGTAACGCTCCGTCGTTTCTCGTTGCCGTGCCTTGTTCCTGACTCTTTGTTTCTATCGTCAATGAATCTCTCTCAAAACGTTTCTTCTTGATCCAAACCGACGCATCCGAACTCCCTCGGACTCCAAACTACCGCTTCATAAACTTTCTCACTTTCCAGACTGATGGTCCACAAACTCCTTCACGTTCCGAACTGACGCTTAGCTGATGCTTCACTAACTCCTTCGCGCTCCAAAGTGATGCGTCGCAAACTCATTCGCGTTATGGATCTTCTTGCATGGCAAGCGTCGTCTGCACCGTCGCATGAGCATCTTTAACGGTCCGCGCCCTGTCTCATATGGTGAACGTGCCTTCCAAGGGTCGCTGAGTCTTCCGCGAACTCATACCAACCGCCACTGAGGGTTCGTACCGTAGATGGTCCGCTGAATGCGAATCCGGCCAGTCCATTATTGACTGGCTTAGGGCCAAGCTAGAAGCCGCAGAGCGCATGCTCGCCGTCAAGACGTCACGACATTCGTCCCGCTCCAGCCTTGAGTCCCGCGCCGGCGTTGAGTCCGGCACCGGCATTCAGTCCCGCTACAGCCTTGAGACCGGCACCGGCGTTGAGTTCGGCACCGGCATTCAGTCCCGCTCCAGCGTTGAGACCAGCATCAGTGTTTAAGCCAGCACCCGCATTGAGTCCGACGCCAGCTCTGCCGTAGCCTCTGGCACCCACACCTGCACCAGCTTGGAGCCCCGCGGCGGCGTTGATACCCACCGCCGCGCCGCCGTACCCGTCACGCCTGCCATAGTCGTCGTTGTTGCGATAGCCATTCTGCTTGCCATACGCCCCACGCGTGTCGTAGCTATCGAGCGAGTCATCACTGTCTTGTTGGCCATACCCGTCTCGCTTGCCGTACCCGTTGTTCTTGCCGTAGACGTTCCGATTGCCGTATGCGTCGCGCTTGTCGTAGCCGTCGTTCTTGCCATACCCGTCGTGGTTCTGGTGCAGACGCCCGTACGTCTGCGCCACCTCGGTAGACGCGTCCACTGCACTAGCCGGGAGCGCCACAGCCGCCGCACACAGCACACAGATTGTCTTGCTAAACATCATCTTGCTCGACTTGGAATTGCTTGATTGGAAGCGTGTTGGCCCACAGACGCTGGATTAGGACGTCGGAAATTGAAGAATGAGCTCACTTGCATTTTGCTCCGATCGATGCAGCGAAGGACTGAAGCTGGCGTGATATCCTCTTGCGCAACGAACAGCTTGACAACCGCTCGACTAGCCCGCTCGCTGGGTGTTTGCAAGTCGGCGGGTAGTTAGGAACAGATGGCTGAGTCGCCGCATAAGAACTCGTTGCAGTGGTAGTAATCCTGTCGACAAGGTAACCCTCCGATGGCAGGGTCACCTGCGGTTGTGTTTCTAACCTGCAGTGCGATTATTAAAATACATTCACGTATCTTGCGTTGAGTACTGTTGCTGCTCGTTGCTGAAACAGACACGGTTAAACATATATTTGTTGGAGGGGGCATTGATGCGCCATGTGATGGTAAATAAATCTCGGCTCTACAGTCA